CGCCCATTTTTAATCTTGACATTTTTGTGCCTCCATACAAAGCACGTTTCTCTCCATTGGTTGTCCCTTACATGTTTTTAAAAGCTCAGTCCAAGTCTCTCTTAGTGGTAATGAACTCGTCCAATCGTCCCAGTCCCCGTAACCAGGATGTCCGGCTGCCCGTTCCTCCAGATCTCCCTGACGATTCGCTCCCTCTCCTCCAGCCGTCGGGCCTTCTCCAGCTCCTCGGCCGAGGTGAACACGTTCAGGCTCCTCAGAGTGCCGTTAGACTGGCTGCTGCGGTCACTCAGAGGACCCACTGTCACTTTAGGGATCTCCGTATCCACTGCCCTCTCCTCTCCTACACTCTCCTCCTCTTCTTCCTCATCCTCCTCCTCTTCACTGGACTCCTTGAGCTGTCTCCTCGATGGAGACGGAGGTGGTTTTCTGTGGCGGCGAGCCCTGCAAGTAATGCCGGCCACCAGGAGGCACAGCGCCATGAAAAGCCCGAAGCAGACGCCCATCATGAAGTAGAGGGCAAAGCTCTCTGGATTGGCTGCACAAGAAGAGGGAAGAAAAACTAATTTACTGAAATAAAAGCATTAAAAAGTGGATTTATTAAGCTTTTCTTTATTTTCTGTCATCTCTATACTGTTAGAGTGGTAGATGCTCATATCAAAGACAGCGAAAGTTTAAAATAGTTAGATCAGTGTATGTTAAAGTAACCCCTGTGAGCCAAAAACTCAGGTTTCAGACTCTAAACGCTTGATTTTCACCAGATTTTCTACTCTTGGCTCTTTGTGATGTCACTAAGAAGGGATATCCCTAATATGGCTGCCTCAGGCAGAGCATTATTAAAGTAAACTGCTATGGGTCTAGGTGTGAGCACAAAGGCCCCACCCACTGTTGTTAAACCCTTCTGTTTGCACGAGGCAGCCAATCAGAGTGAAGTTTAAAGTATAAAGTTAAATAAAGATTTCTTTGAACTGTAACATGCAGAGTTACTCGTGTAGGAGCTTAGAAAGAAATATTCATGTACAACCTATGTAAAGTCATACAGTGTGGTGTAGCAAGCTGCCTGTGGTTTTATAGATTCACCTAATAACACCTTGAGGTTGTCCCCAACTCCATGTTGGAAGCCACACTTAAAGCCCTGCTAAGATTTTACCTTTGATGTGAGCGTAGGTCGCCATGCTGTTACTCAGCAGCTCCATATCTCTCTTAATGGGCTCCATCTTGGTTCACTGTGGGTTCAGACACACACCATCTCCTTTACGCGTTTACCTCCTGGATAACCCGAGGCAGATCCTGTCAGAAAAACAAAAAAAACAAATGCTTTCAAAGTCATCTCAAAAGGAAAAAAAAGTGTTTTAAGCCTAA